CAAAGCGGAAAAATACAAGACAAAATTGGTTGTCTTCATTTGAATGGTCTGTGGTTAAAGTAAGGCACTGGGCCTTTCAAGGAGAAAGGAGAGAAAAAAAAACTGGAAAAACGACTCCTTTAATCATCATCCTTCTTTCTGAACACCAAATGAAGTGGAAAAAAAGATAGTGCATCATATGCCAGGAGTGCAGAACTGAGTTTCTTAACGCAATCCTAGATCTCCTGGCATCTCCTACCAATTGAAAGAGTGCCTGAGTTTGCACCATAATAGGTCTTCATTTACTGACATTTTGGAGCGTTTGTCTCACTGCAAAGCTTGGAGGTTTTTATGTGATACTGTTGTCTTGCAAATCTGATGGTTCGCTGTAGGTTTTTACAGAACTTTGACTCAGTTTCAGGGAAGAAGGAATGAAGAAGCAGAAGAGTGAACTTCTGGAAGTTGAAACCCTCCTTTCCCTGGGTTTGAGCAATCTGTGCTCTTATGAAACCTTTTGAAATCTCATTTGCTGATGTCTTTCTGACCCCCAAAATTATTCTTGTGCAAATGTTAACACCCAGCAGAGATGAAATCATTGACTTGGGAAAACATATCAAGCTTATCAGAAACTGCAGGATTTCAACAATACACTAGCAACATCAGCCTTTCTTTTTTTTTTTCTTATATTTTTTAAAAATTGTTTAAAAAAAATATACTGAGGGAGCAGAATGTTTTTTCAGTTCATATGAACCAAAATCCATGTCACCTATCAAACTGGTTTTATTTTCTGGTCTTCTGTGTGCTTGATATGTTTACTAATTTTGACTGTTTTCATTACACACTCACAGAGTGTATAAGCAGATCAAGAACTAGATATGTTTCTCAATTGAATTCAGGCTGTCTGTAAATTTTCTCTGTGTGTTTTACACATAGCTTACTGAAATTAAAGGACATCAAAATTTCTCCACTGACCACCTGAAATCGGTTAGTCCTCAATTGTTTTTCTGATGATTCTGACACTAAATTTTTGTGATTTGATTGCTGAAGGAAAGTGATTTAAAAGTGGATGGACAAACTATCAGAAAAATGTTGAGGCTTTGGTCTCCTGTATCATGCCATTAGACAACAGGCAGAACAAAAGGAACAATTACAATCTGTTTATTTGGACATCTGTAGAGCCAAAAGATGCATTAAAACTTGATTTCACATCTTGTATGTTTAGGGTCACAAAGTAATTCCACAAAGAAAACTGCTTCTAAGGAGTTTGCGTAGGAGAAGGGAGCTGCCCTATAATAAACTTGCAAAAAAATCAAAATAGTCTTGTTGGTTCAAAAGTGTCAATTTTGGGCTCTGCTGTTCAAAAGTGAATTTTGGTTTTTTATGTTTTAAATTAAAGGCGCGTCTGAATGTTCATTATCCCTACGATAAAAGGAGTAGAAATAGGTACAAAATGGCTCTTGTGAAATCTTGTAATTTACCTTTATTTTAAACTGGCTTACACATCTTAATATATTATGACAATCAGAATTATCAGGCCACCAGGAGGAGAGGAGTTTGTTTTGTTAATTGCTCTTGTTAAGCCTAATTACAGAACGGGGTGGAGTGGACGTGAGGGGAGGGAGGAATCTGCTAGCAAGAGGAGATTCTAAAATCCTCGGAGCAGTTCCAGACAGTGTGTGTTGAGGAGCGAGAGCGCGGGTGTGGTGTGGTGTGCATGAGCATGCGTGTGTGTGTGTAAGGGTGTGAGAGTGAATGACAGACTTTCCATATGGACTAAAATCCTGAGATGCATAAACTGGAGGTGGGGAACCTGTGCTGTGTGGACACGTGAAGGTACAGCTGAACAAAGAACTGTGCTGTAATTTTCTTTATAAACTAACTCTTTTTTTTTTTGAAAGGGAGGGCTGGGACATGATGCAGATTACTTACTTTGCTGTTAATTTTCGAGGTTTATATTAGATTGAGTGTTAAAATGGCTTGCTGATATGTTGCGCCATTCTTTGATATTACAGGTTGCCACACAGCTGTGGGTTGGTATCCTAAAGCCCTTTGAAACATTTTCCTTCTTCTCGGTGATCTTAGCAAAGATGTGCTGCTCACATACTGTGTTATTCGTTTATACTTCCCAATGGAAAGCAAAGAGCCCTTCTGCCCTGCATTATTCCAGTTTGTTTATGTGCCCCACATTACGCTGTTGGCGACTTACTGTGCCTGACCTGCATTTGTCAGCCCTCTCCGTTGCCTCGGGAGCCTCCGGCACAGAAGTTTCTGATAAGGCAGTTTCGAACAAGCCAGACGCAAAGTGAATGATTCTATAACAAATCTGTGCTCTTCTCCGGGGTATGTTACCTGACTTGTTTGCTGCCAAGGTGGTTTTATTGTTTTGGCTACTGGGTGGAGGGAGGAGACTAGAACAGCAGACGAGTCACGCTTTTGTTTTGTTTAATTATAACGTACACTTTAAATAAAACCTTTTAGTGCCATGAATTAAATGGCATTGCAATCCTGCACAAGAAGAAAAATGCTACTGCTGTTGTAGCTGACAGCTAAGTGGTTAGATGGCCAGCATGGGTCTGAGGCTCAGAAGCCTTTTCTTTGCTGGCTGGAGATACTGCTGGGTAAATGTGTTTACTTTTTCCTTAGTATTTATACTAGTTAATGTGTCGCACTAGATAAATCTACTTCCTGAGTCCATCTTTCAGCTTGCTCTCTTCCCTTCCAATTGACAAATGGTTTGAGTTTGACACCGTTTTATCAGTTGAGCCCCTGCTGGGTGCTGCATGCCTGCTTGTTTCTGCTTTATCATGAAAAGTGAATTATCTGCAATATTTTGCTACCATCTAACTAGCAGTTGGCAGACTTTTCTATGTGAACTGATTTAGCTTTCAGCAAGGGGAAGCTGTTGTCTTGCTCTGTAAAGCCCTGTTGTTGCTCTCCAGGAAAACAAAAGATCCCGGCGCTTTCTGCACCACAATCTGCTGCTGTCCCACTTTCAAGGAGGTGTTTTGTTTGTTGCGGCAGCTTCCTATCTTAAAATGATAAATTGATCGGACATGTGTGCTGTTTTAAACCACTCTCTCTAGGGTTTTGTGTTCACTTAGGATAAAATACATGATTTTGTGGTAGGCTCTGGTTTAAACTTAATTTAAATTTGGTTTAAAGATTACAGAGCAAAAGGGAAAGTATCAACATCTTCAGCAGTGGTAGTCTGAAGAGGAATAGCTGTCAGAAGAAGAACGTTACTGACTTAACCTCAAGTGGGTTGCAAATGCATTAGGGATTCATTAATATTAATAGTGGAATAGACATTTCCTGCATTTGTTTGACATCTTCCACGGTCATTTTTTTTTTTACGAGCAACTTGAAATGCAGTTTTAACACTTATTCAAGTTACTACAAGGATGATAAGCTAAAGTTAAACAGAAGGAGACCTCTGGGTGTGTGGGGTTGGTCTCTAGGAGTCCTGGAATTTGGTGCTGTGCCTTAGAGAAAAAGTATGGTAAACTCTTGGGTTAGGCTTTCAGGGCAGTTTGCAAAATGGACCTGCTAGGTACTACTGCCACCAGAATAAACTGTTGTCAAAACAAATTGTTCTGTGAGGGTGACAGGAAGGTCACTATCAAACTGGCACGTAAAGGTTATTAGCTGTGCAGATTTGTAAGGTGGAGACGGTACTGGCTTGTTCACAAGTTCAGGGGTGAAAAAAAAAAAAACCAAACCGTTCTTGAGTGTCCAAATATTTTTGATGTTGTCTGAACAAAAATAAATAGAAAAATAAATAGATCCAAGGTAATTTTTACTTGTTTTCCATCTTCTAAATCCTGTGCTGCACATTTTCATGCTTCTGTTCTGTCATCAGCAGGCTTCCAACATTTCTTCCAAGAAAATAAAAAGGAAATTTGAGAAAAACAACAAATATCTTTGAGACATAAAGTAAAACCAAGAACATTGTCAGCACCAAGAGGAAATATGTAATTGCAATGATCATTTTTCAGCATCACAATTTCACCCACTGAGCCCTTTAACTAAGAGAACTTGTGACAGTGAAATGAGGCAGGGGCTTGTTTTTTATAGAAAACACAGTTAGGAGTCTTAGTCCATAAAATGTCAAAAGAAAACAGGTAAGCCCCCCGCCAGACCTAGTCTGGCAGGTCTAGTGATGCAGCAGCTACAAATGCTGAAGTGCACGTGAGTTTTGCAGCTCTTACTGATAGGGCAATTTGAATTGTCAGTGTGCGTCTGCTCTACTTGTTGAGCCTAATGAAAAGTACTGTTTAATCACTGGTGTGCCAAATTGACCATGATTAGCTGTTATTGCAGATTAGCGCATTGTCTGGGGCTCCAGAATTATTGATCCGGGTGCTCTGCTCTGGTGTTTTCTGTGCCCTCTATCGTAACCTCTTCTTAATGCTTAGGGGAGAGAAGCAGGAAAGGAGAGTAGGAGGGAAGAAGTCCAGATGGGAAGAAAACAGGTCCTGAAAAGACCACATAGGAACTAGGTCAGGTACTCTGGAGATTAAAGAAGCATGCTTCATCCCTGGACGCAGGAGGCAGGGACAAGTAGCATACAATTACGAGGAATTAGAACGGCAACAAGTAGTGCAGATTTATCAGCTTTAATTGTCTATTGTCAGGACAGAGCCCTTCTTGTAGATCAGGCGCTGCCAATGCTTTAATACCTCTAATGGACTCTCTATTGTGGGATTATCTCTCCTAAAGACAATGTATTTCTTAAAACTAGTTGTTTGGGGAAAGGGAGAAAAAAAAAAGAAGAAAAAAAAGTAGCTGCAGCCCTCTTTTTTTTTTTTTTCCTTCTCTGGTTTGTCACATTCTGCAGGAAGTAGTTGAGAGCCAGTGTTGCTCTTCTGTCAGCAGCGCTATTCCTTCAGGGGAACTAATAGATACCTATTGAACATTAACCCTCTTTGCTCCACCTTCCCCAACGAGCTCCTCCAGAAACAATAGCTGGTTGATAAACAGCAGATAAGCAAGGACACCGGGCTTAAGAATCTCTCTGCTATCTTTATTTTAAAAGCTTTCCTGGGTTTTGCAAAGTAAACATTACAACATTTAAAGAAGGATAAGGTGTCAACTATTTAATGAGAAGTTGTGTTTAACAGCAGAGGAATTCTTCCCTCCCCCACCCAACACATAGGTATGAAAAGACTGTTATTTCACCACCCTGAGGTAGGAGAGGTGAAGAAATGACAACTGTACTCTTAGAAGATTAAAAAGTGGTCCTTCAGACCAACCCTACCAGATTCCCTAATTAGCTCTAAACATACACTATTTTGAATCCTTTGGTCCTAGATCCACGGTAGTCACATTGCTAGATCTGTGATAATCTGTGGGTAAATATTTTCATTTCCACCACATGCACTTTGTCATGGTGTGTAGCTGTTGTTTTTGTTAATCTGTTTTGAAACGCACTCTGTGGCCAGCTCTTTGTCTGAGAAAAGTGGCGTGGTTCCACCCATGGATCTCACCCTGCTTCTGCTGTGTTCGTCAGCTCCAGGAGATTGGTAAACCCAGAGAGTATCTGAAATGAAAACGGAATTGTGTAGGGGCAGAATCTGAAGTTTCACTATTGTTCATATCACTTCTGTCTTACCAGGCAGGTTTAACAGAGAATACCCCAAAAAGTGTCATGACTGCCAAGTAGGGAAGAGACATGAAAGTTGAAATAATGCAGTTAATTCTGAGGTGGCTTCATTATTTCAGCTTGTGAGCTTGTTGTGGGCCTGATACCTGAAATATTCACAGGAGTGAGCCTTCTAATGTATGTATACCTCCTTATCCCTCTTCTGTGACAATTTAGAAATCAGCCTGTTTTAAATGAAAGTTTTCCAAAGCACACCCTTTTTTTGTCCCCTTTCACCAGTAAGGTTGGAAAGTGGTTGAAATGGTTTGGCCTGTTATCATAAATTTTGCCTCAAACTCAGTTGCAATGGATAGAATATTCAAAAGTCCACATTTGGGATTTGAAAGGTTGATTTTTGTGCCCAGGTTTTCTTGTCCAATACAAACTTAGGTTCATAGAAACATGCAAAGACAATAAAAGTGTTGTTCTATGGGCCTCTGGTTGTCATTCTTACCTTTCCCAAGACCACCATTGCTCAGAAGTGTGATGGAAAGGCTGATGGTAGACAAGAAGGGAACATCTGTGGTCCACCTTCTCACAGAGTCTTCTTGCCCTCCTGATAGCAGGCCCATACAGCCTTGTCTCCTTCTCAAAGTCAAGCCTCAACAAGAGGAAATGGCTGAAGCTTAGTTCTTGCTTCTGTATGCTGGGAGAATGTTTTTATTCAATTGGAGGAGGATTGTTCTGGCTTATTTGTATGTCATCTGAGCAGTATTTTAATAAGGCCTAGCTGAAAACAAAAAGAGATATGGTATTTTAGTTTGACTCCTTTTTTCTCTTTTTAAGGAAAATTTCTTGAGAGGATAAAACAACAGAAACCAAAAGTGATGTTAAGGCTTGCACTAGACAGTAGCTGAGAGTGCAGCCTAAAGATCGGCTGTTGGTAGTGCTCAGCTGAGACAAAAATAAACATTTGGCATTTGGAAGTGCTACGAGGCAATGACCAGGGTGCTCTGTAATTAAAAGCAGTCTCTGAAAGCTGCATGTGTTAATTCAAAAGCCTCCTCGTTACACCACACACCACCCCAAATGCCCTTGCAAAAACCTTCATGTAGATTCAAGAGCAATTTTAATTTCTCTCCTTATAGGCAATAGCATGCTAAAGTTGTCTAGGGCATACAAAGCCTCTGAGATCATATCTGAAACCTATAGGCACTGTTTTGCAAAGGACAGGCCAGTCTGTGAGAAGACCGTGAGAGCTGTAACTTTTCCTGTTGCACAGTCACTAGAGTGTGCTGGGTCTCTCTCTCTTTCCCTTGAATCTGACAGCAACCACATTTTCAAAAATGTGGCCCCAAAACATAAGTGTATATCAGAACTTGAAAGCAAGTTCTTCTTAGAGTTTGATTTCTCAGTTGGCTTTTAAAAGATGTGCAGTCGTGCAACTACATGGTGTACCTTCTCCAAGTAATGACCACAACTGGTCCCCAAATGTTTACCAGCACAAGGATGCCTACATGCAGGAAGTGGGAAATGGGGGTGGGTCTAGTAGTTACCCTTGATGTGGTCAATCTGCCACTGACCTTGTTTGGGGAAGGGGAGGATGTGAAAATGCGACTCTTCTTTAATCTCTTGTGTGCATTTTATCTCCTCTCCAACTTTCTAAAGAAATTTCATCTATTAGAGCCAGCTCCCTTCCCTCCTTCTTCCCCTTACAGCAGGCAGGGAGAACAGCAGCAGTGGCAGCTGAGGCTGAGTTGCGGAAGGCTTGTTGAGCTGAAGTGGTGATAGCATCAAAGGAAATGGATGGGGATTTCTGAGATCAGAGCTGTTAGGGCCATTCATGATTTGTTGCCAGGCTGAAAGCTGCTGGAGAGAGAGCTGCCTGAGAAATGCTGATTAATACAGTAATTGAGGTTTTCTCTAAGCGAGAAGGAAAAAAAATAAAATATGACTAAAAATGATCTTTTTGAAATGAACAACATTTTGAGATTGCGCATTCCAGACAATAGCAGCTACTGGTACAAACGATTTCTATAAAAGAGCAGCAAACTTCTGGTTGAACAGGGCGTCTTTTTATGTTTCTCTCTTAAGGAGGAAGGTCAGAAGGTCAGTCTATATATTTCTTTAATGGCAGAGTTTCCTTTGTGTTTCTTACTTTAGTACGCATTCTTAACAATTTGTTTCTGTCTCTTTTTCTTGATAAACTTAGTTTTATTCCAGATCAGGCACTATTAGGCTAGACCTGCACAGCAGTGAAATCCCTTCTCCTGCACTATGGTAGTTCAAGGCTCAGCTTCACTGAGGCACCTGGAGTTAATTTCAGGATAGCCCCGGAGTGTGCCTCAGAGTTATCTGAAGTCCATAGGCTTCACAGGCTGTACTTGCCTTCTCAGGCTCCAGGGAAAGAGCTGCACTGACCTGGCATAGTGGCATCCTCCTGTCCCGAGGAACATTTTACTTCATCTGATCTGATCTAATCTCTGCTTCCTCTTGTTTTCCAGCCCAAAAGCATTCTCAGTTCCTTGAAAAGCAGATTTGCTTTTTTCTCTGCTCTTCTTCACATTAAGAAGATCAGTCCCTGAAGGAAACACATCAACCCTTTCTTCTTGCCCCCCCTCCCCTTTTTGTTTTTCTTTCAAGCTAACAGGGAAGTGAAAAGCTCTGAAACAGCTGCCTCTCGGAGTGAGACTTTTTTTTGGTAAAATAATCACCTTCAGTATGACTACATTGTTTTTCTGTTCTGTGCGGTGTGACTCAGCATCAGTTAATTAACCCAATCAAGTAGGCCGGATTTCTCTCCTTTAATGAATGGTTCTTCCTACTTCAGAGCCTTCCTAGACCTCATTTTGGATGTGCCTTCGTTTTACTGGGTATATCCAATTACACTTATATCCTTCAGCCCAGTGCTCAGGCCACCTCTCTTGTGGAATTACGCTGTGGTGGCAGTTAAGCCAGGACACTGACTTGCCAGCAGTTGTCCTACTTATGTCTGCTGCCACGAGCCCTCCCGTGCTAGTGCATACGGAAGGTCTTTACACAGATATGCTATTCTCAGCATTGCAGGCCGAAAACGGCAAGTAATCCTTTCCACACGTCTTTTTATCAGTGGGAGGAGGATCAGGTTAAGGGAAAGGGGTTTGTATATGCCTGTCAGAGAGACAGACAGGCACCCGATTGCATAAAACCTGCTTCGCCCCCCCCCCACCGCCGCTGTTTCTTCCTTTTTCCTGTGAAGAAATAAATAACACCCAGATCACCCTAAAATATAAGTGATGTATGTTTAGAAGAAGATGTGAAATTGGTTGACATGTAAAGTGCCTGGAAAGTGATGAGAAATAAGCTTGCAGACATGTGAGAAGAAGGAAAAGTAGTAGAGTTGCCTCACAGTGCAACAGCTAGTGTTTCGCACTGGGCTGTGGATGGCTATAAATGGAATTGTGCATCACTGTTGCTCTGAGCCTGAGGATGCCTCACTAAAGAGACAGGACCACTGAAGGAAGTAAGGCATCTGGTTGTTTTGTAATGAGAAGCAGGAATGCTCTTAATAATAAACAAACAGGACATTGTATGCCATCATCACAGGATGTCCTTCCTTCAGCCAGCATGCTGACTTGGATCAGAGGAAAAAAAATTGGGTGCAGGGATCTGGTGATTGTTCTACCAATCCTCCTTCCATCACTAGCTTGTTCCTGGATGGTCACTTACACATTGCACTGTGCAAGATCTGTGCTCATTTTCTTACCACACTGGGAAGGAGGCAACGGGTTTGGAAATGCTGCCTGCCGTGCCCTGCTGTTGTGAACTTCCCTGCTGTTATCTAGGGAGACGGGGAAGGTTTTCTTTAAGGGAAGAAACAGAAATGTTTTTCCCAGTTCCTTTTACAGGCATTGATTAGAAGGAGGCTCAGGAAAGGGATAAAATCAAAACTCTGAAACTCCCAAATGCAACATCTAAAGTGAAATACTATGATTGTTAAGGTTTGGGAGCAAGCACTTCGAATCGAGTTTTAAATCAATATTCCTTGGGAACTTCGGAGTAATTTTAATTGTTATTTTTTGTAATGTTCTATCAAGTCAAACTGCGGAAGAATGAAAGTGGGCATGTGTTGAACTCCGGAGCTTAAAAAGAGCACGAGAAACAGATTTCTAGTAAAAGCTGCCTCAGGTGCGCTCTCCGCGAAACGCCCGCCCGGCAGACCGCGGCGGCGGGGCAGCGCCGCGGCTCTCCCTGCTGACGTCTGGGTCGAAAGGGAGGGGAAAAAAAATAGTGATGTAAAAACCCAACGCGGGTGGGCTGGGCGGGGGCAGGGGCTGCAGGTAGGGTCCCACCTCCCGCTCTGTGGGGAGAGGGGCCGAGGGAAGGAGGGAGGGGCCGGTGCGAGAGCGCGGGCGGGCGGGCGGGCGGGCGAGCGGCAGGCGGGCCGGGGCGAGCGGAGCGCGCGGCTGTGGCAGGCGGCCCCCCAGCGTTCCCCAGCAGCAAGAGCAGCAGCACCTGTCTGACAGCGGGGGAGGGAGGAGCGGGAGAGGAGCGGCGGCTGGAGGTGTGAGTCAGTCTCCCGGGGACCCGGCCGCTGGAAGGAAGGAGAAATGTTTACTCTGTAGAGATGAGCCAGGTTTGCCGCCGCCGGTGGGCTTCGGTGTGGAAACGCGCGCGGACTCTGCCCCGGTAAGGAGCGCGATGCCGTTCCCCCTTCGCACCCGTCTCCACCTCCCCGGCTCCTGCTTCTCGCCCGCCCCGGCGCCCGCGGGACGGAGCAAAAGTTTCCTCGTCGCCTCTCCCGGAGCGAGAGCGCTTCTCTGATCGGCATTAACCCTTTCGCTCCGCCGCGCAGCTGTCGCCACCTCCCCCCCCCTTCCCCCGCGGCCTGAGTTTCGCTGTTAGTCCCCTCTCCCTATACCACGCCGAGGGTCCGTCGCTGTCGCACCGCTCGCCCCGACCGCACTCGGGACGGGGCGCGGGTCTAGTCCCGCGGCGGCCGCGGGGGGGCTGCGTGCCGCGACCCCTGCCCCAGCCTCTCCGGGCGGCCCGGCCGTGCCTCCCGGCAGGGGCGGTCCCAAGGGAGCTCCGGGGGTCTCCCCCGAGCGCAAGTAAGTCAGACCTTACCCTCTTTCTGGGAAGATCGTGCACTTTCAGTATTCGCGTTTCGTTTTTCCCGGAGGAGGGGTGTGAATTTCGTAGTAGCTGCGTATTCGAAAAGGAAAAATTAAGAGATTTTACACTGGATTGAACATCATTCCCAGCTACAGACGTAGGCACAGATTTTGGTGAACCTTATGGAAAGAGCCTGACCCTAATACCAGTTCGAGGATAGCTTTGATAACAGTGCTTCTGTCCTGAACAGACCGAGGGGCTGAAGGACTTGCTGGAATTGTCCTGCTAGGCTCATATCTAGTGCTTTGAGGTAGTAATTCTAGTAGGTACCATCAAAATCAAAAGGAATAGAACAGCTTTTTAAAAAATATTTATTTTATTGTTTCCCCTGCTCCTTTTCTGTTTTGACCCCCCAAAATGTGTTGTAGTGCTTTGTGCAGGGCTGTTGCTGCTACAGTGATGCTGGCAGGATGTCGGCTTTCTCAGCCTTCCATGCCAAAGGATAAGGGGACGTCAGGAGGAGGCGGGGGGGCCAGGTTGTTTTGAAAGTTGTTTGTGTGTTGAAAGCCGGTGGGAAAGTTCAGGCTTCCCCATTTGGAAGAGGCAAGGCTGGGTTCCGCTCTTCCAACATGCGCTTTCCATTTTTAGCTTCATTCAGACGCAGACAGCGGCTCCTTTCCTCTTCCTCTCCTTGTTTGTGACACTTTTCTGAGGCAGCTTTTCCACAGGCAACTAAGTGGTCTCGCAGCCATGACCCCACGTTTTCTTCAGCACGGAATATTTTTTCTCTGAAGCATTAAGGAAAGGGTCTGAAAGAGGTAAAGCAGTTGTCAGCCTAGGGATTTTTTCCTCTGTTTTTGTTCCCTCATTATTACCAAGGCTGGCATTTTAAGGCGCTGCTTCAGTCAGAGCAGCTTCGTTTACACTGCTTTTTGGCTATTACTCAACTGTACCAAGTATCCTGCATACGCTTTTAAAGTGTCACAGACAACTGTATTAGTCACGCTGTATCAACGGAAACCACAACACTGAAGGACAATGAGGATTAAAGGCTGTTTTCTTTTTTTCCAGGCTGCTACACAGTGTAGCTCAAACACTGTGAGTTTCAAGAATCTGGTGAAAGGGAGAGAGCGGACAATGAAAATGGACATGGAGGATGCTGACATGACTCTGTGGACAGAAGCTGATTTTGAAGAGAAGTGCACATACATTGTAAATGATCACCCGTTGGATCCCAGTGCCGATGGAGGCACCCTAACTCAGGCAGAGGCTTCCTTGCCAAGGAACTTGACTTTCAAATATGCATCTAACTGCAAAGAGGTAAGCGGCAATGCTCTGGGGAAGGCTGGAGTCAGACAAGGCAAATCACAGCGCTTTGGAAAGCGTGTGCCTGTCTTTGATTCTTTAACATAGACAAACACACGCCCCACCACCACCACCAAAAACTACCCACTAGGTTTTAATATGGGACCCTAATAACTCTTTTAAGAAACTGTGAGCTGGTCATCTGTTGTGTAATATTTTCACTGAAAATTGCAACCAACCTATCCCTGAAACTGGTTCTGTACCAATTCGCAAACAGTTAAATTTTCACACAATTTGAACAGCATCTGAATAAGCATATTTAAACTGTGGGGTAGTTCTCTGTGCCAATTTCTAGACTGCTGTTTGCCAGGACCATTCATTGCCTCTGGCTCAGAGATTAAAGTGCCTCGGTTGTCCAATAAATAGCTTTAAAAAACATAGAGGGGGGAAAAAACCCCAAATTCCTGGAAATGTGTTTAATTATTTCTTTTTGTTTTCCCTTTGGTTATGAAATTGCTTTATTCTTTTCGTGAGCTTGTTGTATTCCTGACTTCCTAAATTCTTAAAAACTCCAGCGCTCTGGTTAAGGAAGTAATGGTAGGACTGTAGGAAGCTCGACAGAAGGGTGGCCGTAGCTTAAATTAACTTTTGTTTATCTGGGACAGTATCTTCACTGGTAGCTAGCTAGCTGCGTGAGTCTGTCCTATCCTTGTCCCTGGAGTGGGTACATTCTTTGTTGTTGTTTCAGAAGGGCTGGAAAGAAATGAGCCCGGATGAGCAATTTGGTTTTGTGTTTACTCCTTCATATAGAGTAGCTATTATAGCTAGGTGTGATGTTCGGTAGGGTAATAACCCAAAGGACAACCCTTCATTTCTCCTTGTGCTGAGACTTGTGGTATAGCAACTATTACCTGTGCTTCTGCTTTGGCTAAACATACTGACCACAGAGCTGAAAAGAAGAGGTACACTCATCTGTGCCTATCAAATATTTCCTTCCAGAGCAGGTACTTGTTTAATCCTGCGTACAGAAATAGGGCCAGACTCCCAGCTGAAGGGTGTTGACACCGTGGAATTTAGCTTGGCAGTGCCTAATACAGTGCCTAGTAGGTTTGGTAAGAGGTAAAAGCTAAATTCTCTGTAAAATCACTCTTCTCTTCCCATCTGCCCTGCCCTGCCCTGCAGAACTTTGGCAGAGAAAGGTCATGCTCCAGAAAAAAAGTGTGAAACCTTGCTTTGTGTTATGGCATTGTTAGATAGGTCTTACTTTGGCAAGAGGAGGGAAATAAAGCTGTGACTGTTGTATGATATGAGAGGATTTCTTGGTTGAAGGATGAGCTTGCAGTGCGACAGCTCGGGACGATCCTTGGCAGCCAGCTGGTCGCTGAGGCTGCTTGCTCTCTCTGCCCTTGTTGAGTCGTCCTGTTGCAGCTGCAGACATCTGAAGAGCTTTCAAAATTCCCAGCACTGTGTTTGGAAACACCGGGGTGTAATTTCCTTACTCTCTAGCTTAGATCAGTGAATCAGGGTAGGAGGATTGCTGCCATCTCTGTATAAGAGATGGGGGGAGAGAGAAGTTGTTGAAAGATTGTTGGTTCTTCCTTGTAAAATGTGACCTGTGCAGCTCCCTGCTAGTGGGAGTCTGAATATAGGACATCCTCCTTTTGTTCTCCTAAGCTCCCCCCCGGTCTTTTATTTGTGCTGAATTGCACCTACCGTAAGGAGTAATAGGAACTTTCAAACCCTGACTATGTCTAAGGTAGCTCTGGAAGAAAAGGCCGATATGATGCTTTTTTTACCCACCTTCCGTGAAAGCTACTGTCCCCACTGAATGTACGGACAGGTGACTCATTTGCTACTCATCTGAAGGGTGAAGTAGTTGTAGTTGGCATAATCTGCTTGCATTCTAGCAACTTCTGACATGAAACATTGTTTTTCTTTCTGTCTGCCTTCCAAGTTTGATTTTGTTTTGGGAGGTCAAGACTGGGTGTGTGTATTGCTCTTGCACATCAATGTTTATGGGGTCAGTGAGGGAGCCTGATTCTGGTTTTGACCTCGTGGAAAACCACTGGAGTCCTGACAGCTCAGTAGGGTGGGTTTTTTCACTTGCGAAAGTATGAGGTAAGACTTTGGGGGATGTGTGCATGCGTGTTTGCCAGTGGGTTTCAAATGTGAGCTGTCTTCATTGTTAACTTTGGGGAGAGCTGTGGCTTCATCTGGCCTAGAGTTTTAAATGCTGAGTCAGTTTATTGTCAAAAAACATATATAATACATCGCTTGTGAAATGCTAATACTGTCATGATTAGATCATGAAAATCCTAGTGTTGTCATGATTAGTATTGTGTCTCCGGTTGGATCAGGAAAAGTACTGCGTGCCTTCTTAGGAGGGAGGAAGTACAACCGCTGTTGTTTGGGGAGGGTTACTTTTTCTGTTTCTTCTCTTTGCATGCTTTGTGGAGCGAGTAGCTCTTCTTTAAGGGTTTATGCAATTTGTGAGGGAGCCCATGACACGTCATCATACTCTTGTTTATTCTTGGATCTTGATCAGGGACTTTTCTGAAGGACACATTTTTTGTTATGAATTCACAGAATGTGTCAGCATTTTAAAAAATGAATTACTACTGCTCGTAACATTTTAGGCTGTTAGATTGGCATGAAGTCATTTATTTATTTCTGTGCATGAATTATTTATCCTTTCCTCCAGTTTTGGCAATTGTCAAAAAATGAAGAAATGCGGTGTTAGGCTCATGTTCTAGAAGGCCATATGTGAATGATCTTTTCATGGAGACATTTAAAAACATTGTTTTTCAATAATTTTTCCTTTGGTCCCGGTGCTTAAAGCCCCAACAGCCTTTGATATAAAGTGCCAGTTACTCTGCTGTCTTGAGTATTACTAGTGCCTCATCCTGGTCTGTGAGCTTAGGCAGAGCAAAACATGTCCCAGCAAACCACCCACTACAGTTGCTTTTCTCTAATAAGGCCATTTCTTAGAGATAGACCCTGAATCAGTGCTTTTGGTGAAAGCAGTGATTTTGAGCTGTTGCAAAGTGTGACCTTAAACACTTGCTCCCCTCTATTGCTTTTATTCATTTTATATGTTGTCACTGAGGAAGCCATCTGAAAGCATTTTATTTTGTGGCATCACTTTTAGAAAACTGGTCACTGAACAAAGGGGTAAAAATTATGTAACTGTAGGACTAGTAGTTAAAAAAAAATAAAATCGGTGTTATTCCAGGACACATGATGGCCTGTCCTGTTTGCATGTGGAGAATACTGCTGTTCTAATGAAGCCAGTAAGAGTTTGTTCGGTGTTTTGGATTTTTTTAAGCAGCTCAGTTGTCCCATTGCAGAATACCCTCCCCTTGCAGAGTTAGCAGGAGTCGTTGTTTACTTCAGTACCCTCTCCCCAGACAAGGATGTAGGAGCGTTGATCTTCCGAAGCGCCATCTCAGATCAGATTTGGAACCAGAGCCCGTCCGGCTCATGGCCGGGAGCCGCGGGCAGGCCAGGATGTGCTAACTGGGCCAGGCGGGCCCCGGGCGTGTCTGGCCCCCGGCGCCGCATTAGGACCCTGGTCAGTTCCAGGGCCGCCGGCCCGGGCTCCCGCCGGCCCCGGGCTCCTCGTGCCGGGCCGCCCCGCAGGCGGCCGCGCTGGCCCCGCCGGCCCCGCTCGCAGTCAGCCCCGCTCGCAGGCGGCTCCGCGGGCGCGCCCCGGCCCGCTCGGGCAGCGGCGAGCGCAGCCTGGCCGCAGCAGCGCCGTGCGGGCTCGGGCTGCCGCCGGGCTGCGCCTTCCTGCTGGAAATGCTGCTGTACTGAGAGGAGGGATGCGGCGCAGTGCTGGAAGCTCTGAAGGGAGAGGAGCTGAACGACTCTGCAGAGGACCTTGTGGGCTAAGTCGCGCGTGTCTGCCGTGCGGCGCGGTCCGGGCTCCGCAGGCAGCGCCGGGGCACTGTGTTTGGGCAGCGCCCGCGGCTCCCGTCAAGGGCTCCCCGCCGAGGGGACACCTGGCGGACAGAGCTCCGAAGTGCCGCTCTGGCACAGCCCTCCAGCAGCCCGGGAACGGCTCACCCTGGGCTTCGGACCTGGAGTTCCGCCGCTGTCCTGCCTCCTGGCCCTCAGAAGCTCCCTGCTTCCTGACCTCTTATTAAGCCGTCCCCGCTAAGCTGCGGCGGGGTAGGAGTCCCTTTTGGCTGCGGCAGGGGGGTTGCCGGCAGTGTGGAGCCAGCCTGCCTTGGCACTGCTGGCACTCTTCTCCTGGAGGGTGCCCCTCATCGGCTTCTGCAGCTGAGCTTGTGGGGGCACGGTGAAGAATTGCTGACCAGAAAGCCACCCTCAGTTAAAAGTCATCTGGGCAGCTTTAGTCTGGGTTAGCAAAATTTCAGTGTTGGCACACACAGCTGTGCAAGAACATCCTCTGCCAAAACAACTTTCTAATGGGTACAGGCTGAGAAATCAGCTTTGTGTTCAGCTACACCGGGGAAGAGGCAAACACTGTCTGTAAGGTGGATATCAAACAGTATCTGCTGTGTCAGAGACTGTTTCAAGTTGACTAGTTCAAGGAGTGATTTCTAGAAATTCTGAGAATTTCATTAAAGTCGTTTTAATTAAGGCCAAGATATTTTTAAAACCATGAAAAAACTCAACCTATCATGTAGTAAAACTGGTAGGGTGTGCTGTAGCTTGGTTGTGAACTTTTCTTGAGAGAGCAGATGGATGTAAATGAAGATATATAGGGAAAATGAGAAGAACATCTGCCTTTTTCAGCTCTTTATGAGACAAGTACAAGCAAGACAAAAATAAAACTGAACCACTGAGCTTGTTTCAGCATATGGTAGGTGTAGGAAAATTTCTGGAAGTCCATTTTCTCTCCCTTCAGTCCAGATGCACAGATCAATGGAGCATTTAACTACCTCTGCTGTTGATGTTTAAATTTTTTGGTAGTGTGCTGAAACACATGTTGAAATGCAAACGAGTACAAACAGCCACAGCATACACCCAGCAATCTGTTTCCAGGTGATTACTTGATTCCATGGCTGTCATTTGTCCCCTTTATTTCGACATTTAACATGAAATTATGCTAGATGCTAGTTGTTTACTGGAATTTTTAATCTTGACCAGTACCCAGGCAAGGATTTCTCTGTCTGTCTCTTTCTTATACTTTAAGGGTTATACAACAGAAGAAAATGTAGCATGAGAAAATCAGAAGGCTTAGCTAACTTGTGAAGGGCTGTCTCCATACAGCCTGGGATTTCTACCACCCTTTGCTGAGAAGGACTGTTAAAAGAAAAAGAAAAGCTCACTGAATTGAGCTGTCTGTGCGGTCTGATGAGTGCTGATGATGTGTCTGATTTGGTAAGGACATCGATTCCTTGTGGGGTACAGACAGCAGTAATCACAACTCTCAGTCTTCATCAACAACTTCTGGTGTTCTTGTCTTGTTCTGAAATCCTAGTGAGCAAAAAGACAAGTGGCAAGATGTGTGAAAGGGATATGTTTAATTCATTTTGCCATGAAAGTTTGTATACTGCAAAATTAATGAGCTTTTTACCTTCCCTTTTTTCCACTATCTGAGCAGTAGGATCAATCTTGCAAGGGCTTGGGGGTCTTGGTTTACAAAATTATTGGGTTTTTAACATCATTTGGATACATTAAATTTAAGAAGATTAGTGAGAAACAGAGAGACAAAACCAGTAACTCAGCAGTGTTTTGCAAAGGGTTACTCCAAGGCACGTTCTTCTGAATAATGATGAATTGCTTCCTGATTTGTGGTCAGTGACTTTTTTTGGTATAATTACTGTCAAGAAGGAAGCTGAACAACCAGAGTACATTTCTTAGACCTACCATAGTGGGGCATTTTCTTCAAAACCCTTATGGCTTTTTGACCAAACCCACTTGATATATGTTACTGGAACTGCTGATTTCTTTTTATAAAAGAAGGTGACCTGTGAGTACATGTCCCAAACCTATTTCATATTCTGTTTTGTATGCCACTGTATGCTGGTAAGAGAACTGTAGGTTGTCTTTTTTTTTTGTTTTGTTCTCTATTTAGCTATCAGGGTGGGTGTAGAGCGAAGAATGGAGGAGGGTGGAGGGTGGTTTCATTTTGATTTGGAGGAGCAGTCATTCCAGTTCCTAACTTATTAGAAAAGTGAGTTCTGTAGCAGTGAAGTGATTGCTAGATACTGAATATTTTTGTTTGCTGAAACTAGACTTTTGGGGGTTGCCTTTGATAGAAGAAATAACTTCTGAAGATATTTGGTAGTCTCTGCACATTTCACTTACTGTTTCTTCTTGTGAATATATTTCCACAAAATCAATTTTTAAGGTGGTATTCATCATTGGTTTCCATATGTCTTGGTAAAATGCTAATATCTTACAAAGCTCTTTGTATTGTATCCAACATGACTGTTCATTTATTTCTGTTTTGCTGACCTGTCACTAAAAATTTCTTGTTTTGTCTGCTTTACTTTGTTCAGGGGGACAGGGCAAAAGAGGAAGGCTTCTCAGTTTCTGTTGGCAATTAACTGATCCTGTGTTGCTCTTCTTGTAGGTCACTGGAGTTATAAGCAAAGAGTACATCCCAAAAGGAACACGCTTTGGACCCCTGGTAGGAGAGATCTATACCAGCGATACGGTTCCCAAGAATGCGAACAGAAAATACTTTTGGCGGGTAAGCAGGAAAAAATAGCACCATGTTGTTGCAGTAAGCAGATCACTAAATGAGTAGGGCTGAGAAGCTGGGTCACTTCCTGCTGCAGACCCATCTGATGCAGGGGACAACCTCTGTACACTGCCAGGCATGAGCAGAGCCAGTGGATGAATTAAGCTGAGTAAAAGCCTGGCTGTCTTGGATGTAGGGACTGGGTGGGTGGAGAGAGCAGTGGAGATGCACAGCCCTTTTCTCTGTCACTTTGGCTCTCTCTTCCAATACGGATCGGTGCTCGGTTCTGTAAAGAAATAGTTCTGCTGCTTGCTGTAATGGTAGGCTATTTTGCATTTCTTCACAGTGGAAGGTCAGTCTAGTTTATGCGAGTATCACATCCTTGATTTTTCCCACTGTGAAGAAGCTGTGAAAGTAGTGCATAAACTTTTACTCTGCAATTATGATACATTTTGTTACATTTTTTCATGGGTTTTGAATAGAACTGCTATAACACAGTGGTGGTGGTGGTCTTCAGTGTATATCATTCAAGTCATACATTTTTCTAGTCCACCTCAGGATTGTTAGAAGAGCAACCCAAGGATCTTAGTGAGGGAAAAAGAGACAAACACTAGAGGTGGTGCCTAAGTTGTACTCCACAGCATAAGCTGGAAGGGAGCACTAGCCAATTTGTTTTTCCTTGAGCAGTCTGTGCAAGGGAATGTGCTTCCAGTTTATCAGTTGACATAATTCTCAGTTTCCTTACAGACCCATTATTACTTGTTAGGGAATATTCCTTAGCCCCGTGTCCTTCCATGGATTTGTTTTGCTGCCTTCTAGCCACTTTGTTTGTGTCTAAATCCATGGATTTGGGACTGTGTCCAAACCCCTGTGCTCAGGTGCCTGCCTGTCTTAGTAATATCCCAACCTCATATCCAGGTGAAACCCAGGCCAAGCACCAGCGTTCCCCATACCCCTTTCTTCCTACCTAATTGAATCATTTTGGTTTTCTCAGATCATCTTTGTGCAATGTCATAAAGCACTGCACAGGCAGTTATTTGTATGACCATTTTTACAAAGCAGGCAACTCTTTTCACATTCATAAGGCCACAAAAAGTTTCTTTTTGATGAATTTTTTTGGGAGCTTTTGTGCAGTATAGGAAGAATCTGGTACGCTGACCCTAGTCCTGCCAGTTGTTAATAAGACAAGCAGACACAGAGAAGAGGGACTGCTAAACATCTTGCAGGACTTCATTCGTATATTGCAGCAAGAAAGATGACATCATTCTCATGATGTGTTTTTAAGCCTTCATGTGGAAGGATCCTCAGAAAAACTATCCTAGGAGCCATCTAAGCATCATTAAATTCCCTGTTATAATCTCTTGATTCGTTCAAGACAGACTGCTGCACTGAAAATTAATTCCTTCCTAGGGGTCTGACACAGGCTTGCATATGCAAAGGAAATTGTGGGAGATAACTTTCCACATGTTATTAAAGGCATCCTGGGCTTGCTGGCAGAAGCAGGAACATCTGCTCTGTGCACGGGGGATGCTTGCCTGTGTCTTGCCCGCGTGAGGGGAGCAGGGCTGCCCAGGGCCCACGTCATTTCTGGGAACCGCGCCGTGACTCAGCACATCTGGTCTTGCCTTCCCCAGAATAAGTGGGAGCCTGGTGGGTGCCTTTGCCAGGGGAGCCGGATCTGCGGCCCTGACGTGGGAGTGGTGGAAGGCTGGTTTGGGAAGTGGCAGCAGGCGTCAAGCACCGGAGCCCCACGTTCCTGGAAGTTTGTGAGCCGGGGTGAGCAGAGAAACCCGAAGGCTCCTCTTGATGCAGCATAACTCACCCAGCTCCCTTCCATTTTCTCATAACAAACACACCGCAAAATCTCTCGCAAGCTGCTTTGATGAGGCCACATGTATTTCCCCCTTCTCAGTTTACAGGAAGTTACTCTTAAAGAAAGTGATTCTGGTGTTTGCGGCCGGCGTTAAAGGGCCAGGCTGCCTCGCCCCTCTGTGACTGTGGCTCTTGGGGAATAGAGGAGGGGTCCTGGCTGGCCGGCCAGTGGGTGCTCGCGGGGCCTGCTGCCTGGCCAGGTAGGTGTGAAAGACAGTAATGTGAGCACAAAGGCAGAAACACCCTGTGGAGTGTTTTCCCCATAAGATAAGCTCTGTCTCCCCTTTGGAAAGGCATTTCCTGCTCAGCGAGGTTCATCTCTGGTGCTGGCTGCTCTCGCTTCAAGATCTGGCTTTTGCCTAGTCATCTGTTTTGTGAAACCCAGGAACCCAATTTCATCCAGCACAGAGCTAGTTCCCTCCAAAAGTAAGCAATGTATCTTTAACAAACATGTCTGCTGGATTTTCCTTGATTTTTTTCTTCAAAGTAGTTCTCTTATTCTTACAATTTCAAGAAACAGTAGCTTCTGTCAGTGATTGGGACTTCGTTCCCCTAAAGCCGCTAAGCAGTTTTTAGATTCATGTTTTCTTTCCCCTCTGTGGACAAGTCAGAGCATGTCCCTTGATAAGAAAAGTGACTTCTCATGGGCTAGCCCCTCTCTAGATCTTCGCTAAGTTATGGCCTGTGAATTTCATCTTTGCCTCGCCCAGCCGTTCTACAAAAGGGTTACAGTTCAACTATGAGCAAGTGTTGCTTTAGGACTCTGGTGGGGGGTGGAGAATGTTTGCATAGTTTAAACCTTTGGGTGGAGGTGGTAGGAAACTGCAAGTACAGAGGCCATAGAAAAAGGCGAGAAAGACTGACGTAGCACAGCCAGTCAGTCTTATACACAGGTGACTCAAAGCATTAATGCAACACGCACTCAGACCTGCAGTCATCAGCATCACCCACTTGTTGATCATAGCACCAGGAAAAGGACTCTAAGGTAGACTGTTCACACAGGGAGAGTACTCTGCATTTCAGATTTTGTGTCTTGTTTTCCCATACTACCAGAGACACAGGCTAAGCTGAAATGGAAAAGGTGACTGTGTACTTATGTTTGAATACCTTTGTAACTCTCAGGATGTCATAGTTGGAAAGGTGAGAACTCAACTTGGACTCATATTCCAGTGATATCTGCTCATTAAAAAAAAGCTTATTGTTTTCCCCCTGGACTCTGTACGTACATGTTGCATATAGCGCAGATATATATATTCATAAGCACTTCCTCTCTATTCCAGATCTATTCAAGTGGTGAGCTTCACCACTTCATTGATGGATTTAACGAGGATAAGAGCAACTGGATGCGTTATGTAAACCCTGGCTACTCTGTTCAGGAACAGAACTTGGCTGCTTGTCAGAATGGAATGAACATCTACTTCTATACCATCAAGCCCATCCCTGCCAACCAAGAGCTGCTTGTGTGGTATTGCCGAGACTTTGCAGAAAGGCTGCACTATCCCTCCTCCAGAGAGCTGACAATGATGAACCTCAGTAAGTGGATTACAGTATGAGCAAGGAATGCTAGTAATGTCTCTTCTGCCTATACGATCTAATAATAAGTTGTATAATTACACAGCTGCATCACCTGTTGTGTCACAGTAGGTAGCTTGGAGTAGGAAAGGGGAATTAAAAAACCCAACACAACAGAAGGAGTTCCCTGTGCCTGTTCAAATGTAAATAGATATAAAAAATCTGAGCAGTTGCTGGTTTACAATCTGAGTCTGATCTGATGAAATTCTGGATGGACAACCTGAATATACCCTTTGCCTTCAGAATCACAGCTGTTGGTTCACTCTGACTTTTCAAGTCCAGATCTCACAGTATGTTGAGCAAAAGTCTGTTTTGATAGCATATACTAAAGGTTGTCCAGTCATACTCCCAAAGGGCTGCCCTCACTGTACCAGGAAGTGGCGATGTGCCATGACTCTGTCTAGGTGTCTGACAAAATACGTGTTTACTGCATAATGCACTTTGAGCCTTGCATCTACACTTATTTATCTTATGGGAGCAAACCTCCTGTGGTCTTCGCATCGGGTTACTTGTTTTTTAAGCTTAGTGCACTTTGTCCCCATTTCTTGGCTTTATATCACAGCTTTCGTTTTCTGTTCAAAAATGATAGCACTGGTAGCAGAGGGAAGAGGTGTTTCCAGGAGTTTATCTCTGTGTTTCTCTGTGGTTTCTGACCATTTCCAGTCTTGGTGCTTTACTCATAGCTTAGTCACTGCCTAGCACCTCACCGAGAGCCCCTTGAAGAGAGGGAAAGATTCTTGCTGACTTCTCAATGGACTCTTAGGTCGCCTGCCCCACTGCCAGCTGCTCTGAGATAGAGCAGAGCATTCTTTTGTCCTTCTGCCAGTGCCTACACTGAAATTTGAAGGAAAAACCAAGCAGTTTTTTTTTATAAAAAGAACTTTTTGCAGTTATTTGGCAACAAGTAAGGGGTTATAAAATATCAGTGTTGCTTTGGGGATCATTAGAGCTAAAATGTCATCCTGTATCATAAAAATGATGTCAAAAGTACATTTGTCCTCTGTGGATGTCATTCTTTCATCAGTTTTTTGTCTTTCCTTACAAATTAATAGAAGAAAACTTCTTGTCTTTTAATGGCAGGTGGAAGAGAGGGAGGGAATGTCCTATGCAGCTATATTCTCTATTCAAAAACTGTCTCAGTGATTCTCTAATCTTTGCACATATGTCATTTCACCACTCTCTGTGCAGTTTTATTTCCTGATATGATGAACCGTTGGCTTTTCAGTGGGACCTGCAGGTGGGATGAGACAACAGCATTTAGAGTTCCTGTGGATGAGGAATCTGCAAAGATCTAGCTAGGAGGATACAAAAATGCAGGATCAGTTTCCCGCGTCTGCTGGTACCTTAGGTTTCCTTGCAGAAGTAGCAAGGAATGTATTTATAAAGTGTTAAAGTGTTTCTTGCTGTGTCCAGTTACTCTTATTCAAATGTGGTCAAAATGTGGTGTGTCTGGACACAGCAGGGTAAACCATTTTAGTAAAAGTAGGCTCAATATGTGGATTTAAAGAAATGGGATCGTGAGCCACAGTTGTGTAGTTCAGCCTTAACATTCGCAGTATTTCCAGGTGCTGAAATTGAAATAACCATTCTTCTCTTTTAAGATAACTACATTTAAACCATTTCAAAACTTTATGTTAGCTTCCTTTGCTTAAAGAAAATAGCAGTTCAGCAAAATAAGGAAAAGTTTTCACTTTTTTTTATTTTTCCCCTCATTATTATGATAGACATATTCAGGCCTAAAGCCTGCATTTGGGCCAAAACCCCTGCAGGTACCATAAAGATTGAGGTTTTCTAAAGTTTTGGTGCCCTTTTTTGAAAAGTACAGAAAAAAATCTAGAAGTTTCGCCAAGATGCTTATTTGCAAAAGGCCCTGTAGCAACAGTGCAATCGGGGTGGTTTTTCCAGCGTTAGTATTGGAACTAGATGAGTTTAAAGTGAATGCCAGCACTGTTTAGTTTTCTTCTGCCCCTTCCCTCCCAGGCCAGTTAAATTTAAATTAGTGAGCATTATGCCGCCTCTCCAGCCTCTCTCTCTATCACAAAGCGTGACCAAGGTACTATGAGTAAAGTGCAGAGGGCTTGTCCCCAGATCATTAGCACATTGCACCTACTGCAGACGTGGGGCTTTGGCCCACCAAAACAATCTTAACGCAGTCTTGTTTGAGGAGACCCTCATACCAGCACCTGCTAGGAAGTCACTTCAGATAAAAGGATTGCTAGTAATTTGGTGTTTAAAGTGGCATGGCTTCTCTCAAAGGAGCAGGTGAGCATCCCCGCCCCTCCCAGCTCCTGGCTGCTGGTTTTGGCACCCCCTGAGAAAGAGGGAGGGAAAGTTGGGATCCAGGTCTCACAGCAGGCTGAAACCAGGGCCCCCTCCCACGGGACATGCGCTGGTGCAAACATGAGGCAGCCAGTTGCTGTGGTGTGTTGCACTCAGATCTCTCCCTCTGCCCTGTCTAGGGTGTGCAGAGCACACTGGTGCCTGCAGGAGGCTTTGGAATAGCCACACCTTGGTTGGCTGCCCAGCCCAGGACAGGTGAGGCCACCTGGGACACACACCTACAGAGACCTTCCAGTCTTACCAACTTAAAATACAGGCAGCTGCTTTAAGTGCCTCAGGGGTTTGAGGATCATGATCTTGGAGTTCAGCATCTCAGTTCCTCTGTAAGCACCAGAGCAGGATGGGCCTCTGGGGAAAAATGTATCAGGGAATTTCTCTGGCTTTATTTCCTGTAATTAGTGGCCTCAAAAATGAGAGAACTACCACTTTAGAGCATAAATATATTTACACATCCACATATAACATCTACTTGCCTCTGTAACAGCAAACTTTCAAATTAAAGGTAACTTCCCCAGCATTAGTTCATTTGTGCCCTGTAGAAGGAAAGCATCCAGATTCAAGACAGCAATTAGGCATGTACTTAGTTGTGGGTTTAACCCTGTCCTCTGTGTTTTCTTGAATTGGGGCCTTTGACCCAGTCCTTCAGACGCTGGAGCACACACCTACCTTCACAGCCATGATTAGCTCCAAGTGGAGCTACGTAACTTCGAGTGGATGTTGAAGTGCCTGCAAGGAATTGCACAATAGTGGTAGAGGAAAGACTCCACATTATCCCAGCGGTAGAAATTCAGTCTCATTTTAATCAATCCCCTTCCCTTTCTTGCCTGTTTTGAGGCTCCTGATGTTTTCTGTCAGGATTTAAGATGTCACCTTCAGATGGTGCCGTTGTCCAGGAAATAGTTTTGAGTATGGGGGCACAAGATTTCTATGTTCTGCTGGCAAAAAAATAAATTTTTGGTAATTTGTTAAATGGGCCTAAACTTCATTCAACTGCTCCTTCAGATTGTCTTTTAGTCTATGATATTTTATATTTGGACTATTTAGCAAACAGACTGAGGAAATTTGCTTCCGGATTCCCACATAGTTTACATTTCATTCTTACCTCATCATGGGAGGACTATTTTTTGGCATGGACGGTGGAGAGGGTAACAGTTAAAAAAACCTAACAAAAAACCCCCAACAAAAATGCAACAAAATCCAAACAATTGCATTGACTCGGGACGTGACTATTTGATAATAATGTTCATATATTGCAATCGTATGATGCAACTTCCTGCTGCTCTGTCATGTTTGTCTCCTCAGTCAAGTGCAGGCAGGTGACATCTTTTGGTCAAGCTTCAGAAAAAAAAGTTCCAGTTGGGGAAAGAAAATTTGCATATTTACAAAATATTTGGCAATCTTTTTGTTTCATTAACAGGTTTAATGAGGCATTATTTTAAATGTTTCAGATTCTATAAAAATTAACTTTTTAATACTTTTTTCTTAAATGCAATTTTTTCTTTTCTTCTTTCTACTGACCCTGACATGCTGGCCGTTAGCTCAGCCCTGCCGTTCGCTTTCCCTTTTGTTTATGGGCAGTTTCACTTTCTGGTTTTGAAGCTTTTCTGTTTGGGTTGAGAGGAAACATCTGCACTTGCTTAAAAAAATGCCTCCTGGAATGTTCAAAAGGGCTCAGGAAAAATTATTTTTAAATTATATGAAGGGTTTTCTTCACAAAACCAGAATATGGGGACTAAAGTTGGACTTAATATGGAGGATTATTTGAAGGCTCCCTTAAAGACCTTCTCTGAGCAAAAAGTTTTCAAAGGCATGCCACCCTGACTTGGACACATTCAGAAAACAGATGATCAAATTATGTACTTCTGAATGTTGGTCTCCATTCTCATTTTGAGTGCAAACAGTCTTTGTTTTGCCCGCTTCACAACTTCGAGGTTCTCTTACTACTAGCAAAAGAAGTGCTTAATTTAGATCGAAAATGTGAATCGGCACAATTAAGCTTCACCACTCGAAGTGTTCAGTACCATCTCACTCCTGAAATTACTATTGAAATTACTGTCTGCCTACAACCGTTTTTCAAGTTTTTAGAAAAAAACAGATCATTGTTTTTATGAAATCTTTCTCAGGCTACAGCTCAGAGCGCAAGAACCGAGAGCAAAGCCTACAGCTCTGCAGCAGTCTGTAGCTGGAACACCCACACTGGAGTGACTTCAGGCAACCCCTCCACTCAAGTTTTGTTAATGCTTAAAAGTAACAGCAGTTTTGTCCTTTTTCTCCTTGCACGCACTCACTAATCTCAGATCTAACTAAATAATCTGTTGGCCTCAGAAGTGGATCAGGCTCCTCAAGAGGCATGTCTGGAGTTTTTTTTCTTTTTTTCCCCTCTCCCCTCAGATCAGTAACTTAAAAATGCAGCTACACTGTTCTTGTTTTGTCATGAATCTCTTTTCCGTGTCTCTCTGACCACAGAAACTAGACAGATATTGGAAGAGTATGTGCCTATATTTAGTGTGTAGTGTGTGTGTGTGTATATATGTATGTGTGTATATGGGGGCGGGGGGGAGAAATGCATTTCAAGAGTGAGAGGGAGACATTCTGATTGGTAAAAACTTAAATCTAAGATCACAAGTTTCAAAAAAAATCCATTTATAAAAAATATGTCTCTGAAGTGTGGCTCCTATAAGAGCAACAAGAAAGATTGCGAACCTCTCAATCAGTTTCAGCCCTGGTTTAAATCCACCTTCAGTATAACACCTAGGAACCTCTCCTTGGCCCACGACATTACCTTCTCTTATTTTACACAGTGCTGACACACTTGTTTATGTTTTGATCTCTCTGGTGTTCCCAAGTGTCCCTTGTGCTCAGGTAATAAGGGAAAAAGCCAAGAGGGGATTTATGGACCAAAAATAGCTTTCAAACTAAAGAGACTTGTCACAGTTAGACTAGAAAAATAATCTTTAAATATCACAACTTCTGTCTTCACATGGAAATTAGTAGGAAGGAAGGCTTTACTGGAAAAATTCAGAAGGGAAGAAAAGAGCAATTATCTTTAGTGAGTCAAGTGGGAGCATGGGCTTGTTGCACAAAGAAAGTTTCGCTTTCTGCTTGAGCTTCCTTTCTGTCACTCATGGGCTTGCTCCTGTGTGTAAGGCACGTATGTCCACCCCATTGTGTTTAACCTTGTGACAGTAGGAGCTGTTCCTCCAGCTAAAGCCGCCCCAGTTTCTCTATCGCTTTTCCAGCAGCACCAGCCACTTCTCCTTCCTCTTCCCCTCCCCCTGGATTTCTTTTCTTTAGAAGAAAAAACTGTCAGTTTGAACTTCCTGCTTGACAGACCCCACTGAGAAACTGATACAGGCCTGATAAGGTGGTATTTATTTACTTTTCCTGCTGCGAGGCTTCACAAGTCCCACTTCCCACCCCCCTCTGCAGCTTTCAATACTGCCTCGTCTTGATACTTCCCAATGCTGATAGTGTCACTGGAAATGTTTGCTCTTGGACACTGGTGTGGTGAAAGGCAGCTGATAAGAAGACACAGATAATATCCCCAGTGCCATTGTGGAGCTTCTTGAACCTAGTAGGACCTCAGTGTTATGCCCCAAAATCTGGTGGACCTTGAGAAAATCAGTTACCAGTCCACAAGCGCAGACAAAATGACCAAAGAAAGTAGATGATTTTTAAAGCTAGACAACATAAATAATATGCTATTATTTAATTTTTTATACAGCTCTGTATTAAACTTTCAACATTGAGAGAAGTAATCTGTGCATTTATGTGTGCACATGCTTGCTGTACAACACCTCTGAGTTTTATCATAAATATTTTAATTGAATATTCGATTGCATTTCATCGCAGCTTGAAAATACAAAAACTGCTCACATATCTCAAACTAAATTTGCTTGCTAATGCCATTTGAAAAAGGATGCTACTGTAAGTGGATTGCTGTGAGTAGGAGCATGCTTTGAAAGCAGCTGTTTTGTTGGATACGTTTAATAAATGGCTGTTTCTTTGCCTTATAGGGTAATGTTGCCAAATGATAGATTCCTTCAGGGTAGTGAATAATGAAGCTAAGAATCCATGTTGAAAGCAGCATGGGCATTGCCTGTTGTCATGTTACTTGTTGGGTTCAGATGATCCTGCAGAAATAACTGTTTCTCACCTCAGATAGTGAAGTAAGAGCAGTCAGTCATGGAAGGAGAAAAGTGTCTAAAGGACTTGAGTTACATACATACCGGTGTTGATTTGTAACTCCTGATGGAAAGCCGTGCACATAACTAAGCATGATTATGAAACCTTCTTGTAGTTTTTCCTCATAATAAAATACCTTACAAGTAATCAAGATTTTTTAATTATTAACTTAGATAAAAGCAGACTTCTTTTTCTACTGAAGACACCTTTCAGTGTACTGTCTGCATTGTAGTATGTCCAGATAGCAAGGTCTTTGAATACAAATAAATGGAGTATGTGCTGAACTGAGATGAATGGATGCTAGCTTCTACTTCCTTCTAAATATATATTTCTTTTTCCTTTTTTTTCTTATTTTTTTTGCTAAAGTACATTTCAACTTAAGCTGGAGCCAACCAGTCTTGCTTTCTTTTGCTTTGCTTCAGCATTTTTTTTATAAAGTACAGCTGTAAGCAGAGGAGCTTTGCATAGACTGAATGCCACAGAAATCTGCAGTAAATAGTCTGCTTTGTTGTAGATGTTCCTAAGCAGTATATTTAATGAGTAATGATCTGTTTACTGATGGAGAATACCTTCGCTTTGAAGAAGGCTTTCATCCTAGCCAGCCATGGTTTTTTTGGTACTGTAAGTAATTGAACTGGCTGGTGAAGTGACTGCTGTGGTTTGGCAAAAGCTGATTTGTCATGCCTTGTTATTTTACTGAGGAACGTTTCTGGGAGCTTATGTTCTGCAAAGTCCTTCTGTTAAACCTGTATTATGAACAAATGCTTGTTACCACATTTATTAGAAATAATGCTTAAAGACACATTCAACAGCAAAGCTAGTCAAATTTAAGGGGAAAGAAAGGTGAAATCAATTTGCAGAGTGGAGACTAACACTCTGCAAATGCGTCATCATCCAGATCTGTATGTACTGTCTGGTATCCCTTAAATTAACAATGCTTTTTATTAACACTTAATACCAGCAGGTATTTCTTCACACAAAAATTAGTCTTTTGGCAAGTTAAATGATTGCTCATCTCTGAGAGTAGCCCTTCCTTCCCACTAAACTTGTAGGAGTTAGATTGTGTTTTGAAAAGAGATAATACCAGTGACATATCTAAGTAATCATTACCTTGTCTTTGTATTTCAGCACAAACCCACATTAATCCAAAGCAGCACAGTGCTGATAAAGATGAGCTTTATCAGAAGAGCATCCCAAAGAAGGAGCACAGTGTAAAAGAAATCCTGAAAATGGAATCCAACCCTCCAAAAGGAAAAGACTTCTTCCAGACCAACATTTCACCAGTTACTCCAGAAAAAGACTTGGATGATTTGCGTAAAAACTATAGCCCGGAGAGGTGTTTCTTCCCTCGAGTTGTCTACCCAATCCGACCTCACATTCCAGAAGACTATCTGAAAGCTTCCTTAGCATACGGGATGGACAGACCCAGCTACATTACTCACTCACCCATCCAGGCATCTACTACACCGAGTCCTTCTGGGAGGAGCAGCCCAGACCAAAGTTTAAAAAGTTCAAGCCCTCACAGCAGTCCAGGGGTCACGGTTTCACCTCTGGCACCTACTTCCCAAGAGCACAGAGAGCCATACTCTTACTTGAATGGATCGTATGGCTCAGAAGGATTAGGGTCTTACCCTGGATATGCACCCCCTGGCCACCTCCCACCTACCTTTCTACCATCCTATAACCCCCACTACCCCAAATTCCTGTTACCTCCATTCAATATGAGCTGTAATAACCTGAGTGCTTTGAACAATATCAATGGCATCAACAATTTCAATCTCTTCCCAAGGATGTATCCTCTTTATGGCAACCTGCTCAGCGGAGGTAGCCTTTCCCACCACATGCTGAACCCCACCACACTCCCCAGTTCATTGCCGAGTGAAGGAGGCCGTCGATTGCTGCAGCCTGATCATCCGAGAGACTTCCTCATACCAGCACCTAACAGTGCCTTCTCTATCACAGGCGCTGCTGCCAGCATGAAGGACAAGCCATGCAGCCCTACCAGTGGGTCACCCACTGCTGGTACAGCAGCCAGTTCGGAACACATAATGCAACCTAAACCTACCTCAGTGGTGTTGGCTGCCACCGGCGGTGAAGAAGCCATGAATCTCATTAAAAGTAAGAGGAATGTGACTGGTTACAAAACCCTCCCATACCCACTTAAGAAGCAAAATGGGAAGATCAAGTATGAATGCAATGTTTGCTCCAAGACCTTTGGCCAGCTCTCCAATCTGAAGGTAGGCAGTGGAGAATAAGACAGGAGTCTCCTGGGAAGGGCTCAGGTTTGTCCCTGTAGTTTTCAAGGAAAAGTGGAGACAGGCCTCCCTTACTTGTTTGGCTGTTTATCTGTCTGGGCTTAATACGGCATCCCCCACTCCCCACAAGAAATCATTGTTGTGTGTTTTAATGCTGACGCCACCCAATTAACTAGATGACATTGTATTTTGGCAATGGGACTCTTCTGCTGACTCTAGGAAACATCTGAAAGTACTTTTGTTATAGTACTGGAAACTGCAAATTGTTATTTGCTTTGTTTCTCCATAGGTGCACCTCAGAGTACACAGTGGAGAGAGACCATTTAAATGCCAGACTTGCAATAAAGGCTTTACACAGTTGGCTCACCTCCAGAAGCACTATCTGGTACACACGGGAGAAAAACCCCATGAGTGTCAGGTATGTAACACACACAGAGATGACTTCCCTTGGAGGCCGAAGGGACGGCAGAGCTTGTGCACATCCCGTACGGCGTTCAGGGAGGGCTGAGTGACAAACCCTTGGCTGCTCAGGGCTGGAGTCCACACCACAGCCATGCACAGCCCTGGTGCAGCAGCATCTGAGAGAGAGCAGGATTGCTTGTAACCTGCTAGAGCAACATCTGCCTGATACAGTTTTGCCATCAGCCACACTCAAAATGCCATTCACCATTATTTAAGTAAAAAAGGTGGGGTTTTTTTTTCCCTTTATGAGAAAGTGTGAAGATATAAAAAGCTGCTGCTTCATCCTGCTGTCTCCTCCTAGCTGTCTGTGATTTAAACCATAAAATCCCCTCCCACTCATTCACTGTTTCTCTGCCACCCCCCACATTAGGTTTGTCACAAGCGGTTCAGCAGCACCAGCAATCTCAAAACCCACCTGCGGCTCCACTCTGGAGAGAAGCCTTACCAGTGCAAGCTCTGCCCAGCCAAATTCACCCAGTTTGTGCACCTGAAGCTGCACAAGCGTCTCCACACCCGGGAACGTCCCCATAAATGCATCCACTGCCACAAGAGCTACATTCACCTCTGCAGCCTCCAGGTCCACCTGAAGGGCAACTGCCCCGTTGCTCCTGCCTCCGGCCTCTCCATGGAGGACCTGAATCGAATCAATGAGGAGATCGAGAAGTTTGACATCAGTGACAATGCTGACAAGTTGGAAGAAGTGGAGGACAATATCGACTTAACATCGATCGTGGAGAAGGATATACTGACCCTGCTCAGGAGGGAAATGGAAGGAGCTAATCTGAAAGTATCTCTACAGAGGAACCTAGGAAATGGGCTTATCTCGTCAGGATGCAACCTTTACGAGTCGTCAGATCTGTCAATTATGAAGTTGCCTCACAGTCACCCACTACCTCTGTTACCTGTAAAGGTCAAGCAAGAAACAGTTGAACCAATGGACCCTTAAGACTTTTTGGCAAAGTGATTTTTTTATTTATGACTTGGCAAGTCAGGGTGCCTGTAGCAGTTGCTTGTACATAGTTTCAATGCTGCAAAGCAATCTTGGCTTACAGTAGTTTCCCTACGCTCTCCAGCTGAAAGAAGGAACTCCAAAGTTACTGTTTTCTCAGGGCATAAAAAGGGGCAAAGGACTCTGCGTTGCCTCGCCAGTTACTAAAAGACAATCATTTATCCATAACTATTTTTTCAATGATAGTACTTCATAATTTATTATGCAATTAATCATTCTAAAAGCAATAATTAGGAAAATGTTTACAATGACTGGAAAATTCATTGTAATTTTTACTTTAAATGTTTTTATTTTTGTTTTATGGCCATTCTTTGTAGATATGTTTTTCTGCACATCTGTTTTAAGAACCTAAGATTGGGGTTTCAGTAAATGTGTTTTATGTACCAATGTCTTTTAAACAAATGCGGTTTTTCGTATTGCCAAAGTTGGACATGTGACATACAGAATCCTAGATCATGTTTGAAAAAAATGCCGTGTACTTTTATGTGCAAATCACCCCACTGGGAATAGAAAAGGAAAAAAAATAACCAATCAACAACCCAGAGTAGCAGCAAGCAGGGAAGAAACTGTTTCCTTGCCTCTCTGAGGAGAGGAGAAAGATTCTTCTACCTGCAGCTCTACCTGGAACAGATGTGGCACTGACCTGCCATGGACAGTACCACAGGTTTTAGAAAACAGCTCTAGCCCCACACATTGTCATGTAACTTAAAGACCAAAGGAATGCATGAGCTTAACGTGGTTTTTCAAAAATAAAATCTCACATTCTTTTATTTCCAAAAGCAGTTTAAAAGCAAAGAAACAATTATTCTTAATATTCTGCCTGAAATGAGGTTTTTGGCAGATTTCTTTCTTCTGTTTTTTGTTTTGTTTTGTTTTTTTGGCCAGAGCCTTCCAGGGATAAAAAAAAAAGACGGTCAGATTCCCTGAGAAAGAAGGGGTTCGGTTTTACTTGTATTTTCCTCTCCCACTTTGCCTGGGTAAAAGTGGGAAACAAAGTCCTTTCCTGGCACATAAATTTTTTTCTTCCTTCCTGTACGACTCAGATTTTTCTCAGTATTTGTGTTTGTACATTTTGTGGTTAATTTAATTAAAGAAGAAAAGGGCATTGCAAAGTTGTTGAACAACAATTACCTCAGTGCTTGTGTCCAGTGGTGCAGACAATGCTGTTTTAACTAAATGCTTTGCTACTTTAGAGAAGAAACCAAAATGTGCACAGGGAAAGATAGAATGCACGTCCTTATATCTTTTTGTTTTGCTAAGCCCAAAGATGATATGGTGACGTTTGAGGTGTAGCAAAGAATACATGTATATTTATAGATATATTTATACCACTATACTATATATGTATATGTATATATATTTATACCACTTAAGTTGTGAGCCAAACCATGTAATAAAACTTATTTTTCATCTAAGTGTGAAAATCAAATGTTACCTAGTTTTGCATATAACCAGTGACCTCAAAGCCAGAAGGTTGTACCAAGGCATTCATCACTTGCAAGTACACATGTGCAGTTGTCCAGGTGGAGCTGGAACTTGCAAACACCTTACATGAATAACATCACCCACACTGGCATCCCAGTGAATTCTATGGGAATGACCCTGTTTGCAGGACAGGGCTTGTCAGCTCCCTGCTCTCCCGGCAGTCTGCACTGGGGGGGAAGGAGGCTGGTGGTCAGTCAACAGACAGCCAGAAAATGTAACTGAAAGAACTTGGAAAGAAGCCGAACATGACCCATGTTTGATGTGGTCACAAATCACAGTAAGAGCAGGAGGGAAGTTAGTTGACACAAGCCCCTTGTCTCATTGTACCCTGCCATTAATGAGTTGAAGAGTTAACTCACATAAATATAAGTAGCATTAGTACACAACTCCCCTTCATGTATCTTTTTTTGTCTGGTTATTTTCTTACAAAATTTAAAATAGCCCACCTCAGCAATCCAAGACTCAGTGATCTTTTTCTTTTTTTTTCAGCAAACTTCATTTTAATGGCTTCTGTTAGAAAAACAAACAGTCCTGAAATACAAGTCTCTCAACACAGCTTTTGAAGGACTACAGTTCATTACATTTCCACTTCTGCAAATTGTGAGGCTGACATCTTTTAAATGTAGCAATAGTTCATAAATATAGTACTTAATTGTAGGAAAAACCAAAGTATCACTACTCTGTCACTGGACACACACTTTTCCTATTATTGCCTGTAGTGCTTTCTTGTATTTGATACAAATTTTACAAGAATTTATATGCATCAGCTTTAAGAATTGTTACTTCTCTTTACTGTTTCCCCCTTCCCTTAGACGTTTTACATGTGAATGTAGCAACAATCAACAGTGTTTTGGGGGTTTTTTTTTGTCTCTCTTGAGAAAGACTCTGACCAAAGTTAACAGGCTTTTTACTTTGCTAGAACAACAAACTATCATATGTTTACGTATTGGTTTACATCATTATTTATGTGCAAATTGTCAAATGTAAATTAAATATAAGTGTTCATTGCTTTACTGATGCTTCCCTTGTCTTCAGTCTCTCTACACTGAGTGGGTGCACAGCCTAGATGTGGGGCACCATCCCCTCCCGGCCCCAAATGCGTGCTATGGCGAGGGCAATGGTATCTCCAGCAATGCTGACTTTTGCCTTTGTGAGTTCTGATTTTCCCTGATTGAAAGTTGTAAACAGCAATGCCAGAGCCAAATACCCATGCCTTCATTATTTACAACTCTTTCCTCAGTTGCAGTACCTGTTAAAAAACCCCAACAAAACAAACAAAACCCACCACCACCACCAAAAACTACCAAAAAAAACCCCCCAAATTTTCAGTGTTTCAGTGGAAATATTTGAATGCTATCTGCCTTGCAGATATATGACCAGGGTTCTCATTTACATTTTTCCAAATGATTGTCATTTCTGGCCTGAAACCCTAACCACTGGGACCACAATGACACACTCAAAATGTCAGTGTGAGACCACTTAGTCCTGTCTCAGCATGGTGGGAACTGCATCCAAAACAAACGTGGATCTGTTGTAAGTGCTCACAAAGATCAGGAGAAGGTCAAGTGTCTGTCCCCTTCCCCACCTCAGCCCAAAAGTGACAGCAGGCCAGGATGCCCCCAAAAGCTAATTCAACATTTGCTACTTCCATCACTTACTAAGAGATCTAAACCAGAAAGGCCATGTGCTGCTCTGCCCTACCTGAATGTTAAAGAAATAATGTTCCTGTGCATATTGAGACACTCAGCACCGTATGATGTTTTAAAAGTATTTCACTGTCCTCTTAAAAAAATTCATTTAAACATCTGTCTCAAGAATTTGAAATACTGCCAACACTGAACTGTGGAGTTAAGAAAACCAGAGCACTATTGTCATAAACGTGCCAAATGCAGCATGTTATATTCCCATATTCGACAGAGCTATTGCTGTAATAATTTTTAAAAAAAACCATAGGATAACCATTACCACCATAAATCATACTTCATTACTTGGCAAAGCATTATGTTGTGCTGGAGAGTTATGTCCTGGGGACACTTGTAAGCTTTAGAAGATGTTTAATAAAACACATTACATAAAAAGACAATGCACGTTATAGATCACAGCCTCGCAAGGCCGAGCCCGGCAGCTGCTGCCTTGGTTTCTGGCAGCCCCCAAGCTGCTTGGAAGCTGCTGAAGGCGTGCGCTCCGACCAGTAATACAGCGGGTTTCAACCACGGCAACACCACCACCACCAGGTCGGCGAACCGCAACAGCGTTAGCAAGGTGCAGGGGGGAAAAGCTCATTGGCTTGGGTGCTGCCACAAAATGCAGTCCTGCGAGACCATGTGCCCCAGCACAGAGCCATTGGCTGCCTGTGGGCAGGCAGGATTGAAGCCCATCTTGCTGCCATCAGTGTGAAAATGTTGGGGGATAAAACATGTTGGGCAATGTGGCCTTGCCAGCTGAGCTGCTTTGCCACAGGATAGGACGAATTACAGCTGAGACAGACTAAAACACAGATGTAAGGAGGATCTTGTTCTTCTGGCTGGTTTATAAAGCCCAGTGTCTCTCAGCTGGGTACTGGGAGAGACACCGCAAATTCCCAGTGTGGGCAATTATGGCCTTGAGGTCGAAAATGAAAAACGTGACTCACTGAGGGGGTATGACCCTTTGGGTTCAAATCAGTGGCTGCCAGTGCACGGTTGTGTCTCAACACGTGCGCGTGGGACGCGGCCCAAAAGCTTTGCTGTCATTCAGAGGTGTTACGTTTGACTGAGGGAAATAGTTGTGGCTGTAATTAAAGGCAGCCAGGAAACACTTGGCTAATTACTGAATGAGCTGGAGCTGAGTGGATGCTGTACAGCTAAGGAATGTGCCTGTCATGGGGCAGGTATCTGCAAAACACTGGCTGACATGGTGGCTTAAGGAAAACTCACTGACAACGCCAAAGTTGCCACCCTCTCCATCCTCTGCGTGGTTTGGGAGAAGACCAGCAGAGAAAGGGCATCTGCCTAGCCTGGGAAGTGGAAGACACAGATTGACATTTTGGCAACTTCAGCACAAACCAGGCCTGCTGGAACAGCAGAAAAACAAGACTTCTTGTCAAAGATGTGACACTTCCCAAAATCACAAGGATTTAATTTTTCATTAGCTGCTAAAACATGCCCATCCTGCAACCAGTATGGCTGTTGCCCTTCCCGTTCTCATGAGCAGCATGTGGAAGAGGTGGTAAAGAGCACATTGGCACACTGATTGAGATCACCTTTGCACTAACTGTCATCAATGACAGAAGGCTCAAGAGTTTCCCACACCCTGCATGAACTTTCGATCATTTTTAAGAGGCTGGGGAACTTTTCCCAGTCATTCATAGTGGTGGCCAAAGGGGAGGGGAGCTACTAAGCCTTGACCTTGCCAAGCCCCTGCTGCCTTGGTACCTACTTCTGATGCAAAGTTGTATTCTTGTCCCATGATAGAGGGGTCAGATGTCTGCTTGGAGATGCATACAAGCAGACACTGCCTTCTGCTTCAAAGCCAAAGTCTCCTTACCTCCACCATGACAGCTTGCAACTTGGCATGAGTCAAATGGTGCTCTGTGCAGGAAAACACAGTCAAGGAAAGATGAGATGCTTTTCCACCTCCAGGCAGCACAAGCTCTACTTGCTCAGGCTGTTCAGTTTTGCAAACTTCAGCCTGCACAAGCTCACCTAGGAAAGGCCCCCACAGCCTGGGCTCCTGAAATGTCTTATCCTATGCTAATGTTGCCCCACCACTCAATATAAAATTACCTTCAGTACCCTCTTCTAGAGCAGGGCAATGCAGCCTCCTGTGCCAAAGTCTGGAGCCTGAACATCTGTCTCCTAGCACTTTAGAAGCGTCTGCCAGCCATCAGATTTAGCCAAAAACTGCTTTCTGGAGCTGGGGGCTAAGCAGACTGGCTGTCACAATAGTTAAGCCAGGGAGCAGAAGCCCTGGCAGTGGGGCAAGGAGCTGCAGTCACTGGGCTGGTGACACACACCCCTGGGACCTGCCCCTCCCTGGCAGGGACCTCTGCACCTGGCAGGGGGGAACTCTGGCACAGAGCTCTGCTCCTTTTTGACACCAGGGCTTTGGGGCAGAAACCTGTGGCTGAAGCATGGGATCAGGCAGCGCTGGTGTGGGCATTGGGCAGAGATCTCTGAAAAGAGGTTCCCAGCCCTCCAGGAAAGGGAGATGGTCACTCAGAGCTCTCTCTGCCCCATGAGCTGGCAGCCAGGCACCTTGGTGACATTCAGGCACAGTGGTCCTTCCTTCCTCCTCCCCAGCTGCACGCAGAGAGATGGTTGGGATGCCAAACGACTCAGGTAGGTGTGACCAAATAGCCTTATTGAAGGGAGCAAAACCAGTATGACTTCCTTATTGTGCAATGATTAATAAAGGCTTTCAGCTCTTTTTCTCCATTAATTGTGAATAAGCAAGTCCTTCATCATTTCCTTATCCAAGGACCAAGTGAGATTCCTTACAGCATTCCTGTCTCAGTGTGGCCACACTGTACTGGGAAGAGAAGTGATTCCTGTAATATTGAAACCACGCGCAGCAAAATCAGAAGCTGAAAACCTCTTTCCCAGTTCACCTGTGCTGAGGACTTGGGCATCACAATGTGATACTGGTCTTCAGGTTAGGGAGATCCCAGTGTTCCTGCCTTTACCAGTTGAGTTTTACATAGTAAATCCTAGCTTCAACGACCAAAGTGGAGAGCAGCTTTTGTGCAGGAAGAAGAGTGTGGCAGGCATAATTACATACATGATTTCTTATATATTATAGTGCCCGGCTTCCCTACAGCTTTCCTATGGCAAAACTTGTGTGAGGACTGTCCCTCTGTGAACACTTTTTTCCCCGCCACTTTCCTTAGTCTACCCTGTGCAATTCAGATGGCCTTTTGTTTTTAAAGGACAGGTTCTGTGCATCTTTACAGACAAGATCTGCTCTTCTTGTCAGCCTCACAGCCCCATGGAGAAATTCTTTACTAAGAGGGGAAAGTTTGGTTTCTTCTGGCTAAGCTGGAGTCATGTCCCTACATAGGGATAAAGTTAACCAGGCTGGGTGGTGTTCCAGAGAGGTCTCACTTGACTCACAACCAGTCATGAAAAAAACAGAAGTTAAAAATGTTGTAGAAACTGCAACCAGGTGCAAAGGGAGCAAGGATACACAAAAAGTGAAAATTTGCCTTTTTAATAAGCCGTTACAAGTTAGTTAGGTGTTTAGGAGGGAACATGCGCTGGTGCTTATAGTCATTCAGTGAAGATTCTGTGTGTGTGTGTTTTTAATAAGAGCAGAGGGTGCAGAATGGGGCTCTCTTTCTAACCTATATTGCAGCAATTTGTGCATGTCTGTAGCTGTGGGTGTTATGTGCTTTCTACTCTGAGTGGTAAGTTTCAGTTTGATTCTGCTCTTGAGAGCTGTGGGGACAGTTTGCACTTGCCTTATCAACACAGAATCCAAATTGCTTTATGGTGCAACCAGCCCCCTGACACTGCAAACTGAGAAAACATGCTTTAAGCACAGAGAAGCAAGAGAGGTGGCAACCATAGGGCTTTTTCTCAGCAGAGCATCCCAATCTGCCAAAACCCTCATGACATGATCAGAACAGCAATAAACCACCTTGAAAGCCACAACCTTGGTGCCACCCTGAGAGGCCCTGGCTGGAACCCCAGGGAGCAAAACCAGGATCCCAGGGCTGGGATTCTTTTCCTACATCCCCACTGCCCTAAAACCCTGCACCATCTCCATCCTCTTGCACTGATGCCACACCACTGGGGGCGCAGCCTGGCCATTGCAAACTGGGCAGCTTCAGGAAGTGTTTGCCCATCCCCATCCCTCTCTGGGCTGTCCCTGAGCAAGTCTGGCTGCAAGCCACTGACCAAAATTGTGGCCATGATTAGAGACAGCAGCAAGAGAAGGGCAAGGCAGGTACGTCCATGGTCCTTGGGAAGCATGGCTCTAGTTTGGCTACAGAGGCTTGTGGTCTCAAAAGTAA